ACAGTTTCGAAGTATCTCTTTATAAGACAAAAGACAGGCCATCTTCCGATAAAAAATAAATCGGTTAGCTTTGTCATGTTTACCTACAGTCATCCTATCTAGCATACTGTAGAAATCATTTCTGTAAACACATTTCCGTATTTTCCTACGTTTGTTCTCCAAAGAATAACTTTTTCAAAGACCATCTCTTCTAAACAGAACACAAATAACTAAACCTGTAATTAGATCTCAGTTTGTGTTCTCTGTTTCAGGTACATCCAAAAATAAATAAATAGACAGAAACGATACATAAGTTTTAACACGCATTTTGAAAATGAAAACGCTTTTTAGAAGCGCTTCTTTCAGTTTTACTTCCAACCTAAATATATTTAACTAACAGCTTGATTCAAAAATCGTACGACTCCTACAGCAATCGCAATCACTTGACTTAAAATATTTTTGCCCTTCCTTGCCTTTAAAGGAGTGTCCTTTGCCGTGCTGATGTTGCTACATGCCTTACTTCTTGCCTATCTCACACTGCGAATTTTTTCGAAGCTCTATACTAAACATTAAATCTGTTACGAAAAAAAGAACTAAACAAAATGAACACAAAACGATCAGTTTTAAAAAAGAACTCGTAACTGGAAAAAACCGAATGAAAAAAGAATGTTAACAACAAATACTTGTTGACACCCAACCAGGTTCTGCGGAATCAGAATCAACGTTGAGTTTAAGCAAGCGAATGAGCCAATTGGAGTAAAGTGCCATGCAAATTTAAATTTTTCCCACTTGTGACGAATGCAGCTATCGATTGTTTTAGTATGATAGTATGCTAGTTAACATTTGTGTCAGTCAGCTATTGGCTCTCACGGTGGCCAATAGAATCTTCCTACCTATCCATGGCAGCCAGCTATAGGCTTTCACTCTGACCAGTAGAAAATGTCCGCAAACTACATGAAAACTCCCGTAGAAGCATGAAAAATCGATTATTTCTACTATCGATGGGAGTTGGGAAATGCAAAGTGGGTTTTGGGCTTGCCGCTAACTTGGAGCATGTGCGTGTAAATTTTGGTGCAAATCCGTCGAAAATTGCGGTCGTGCATTCGTTACACACACATACACACACATCCTGCCTTTTATAGATAGAGATTTAATATTTGCAATAAGCATAATACTTTACTTTTGTTCAAATGGAATTTTAATTGGTTGGAATGATGGTTTTTTTTGTTATCAGTAAAGTCTCTAAAATCTGTCAGCAGAGCACAATTCTTGATAAAATAACTTTCAAGAATAAAATATACTTTTCCAAAACTTTGAGGAAGATTAACTGACGTAAAATATAATTAACCTGAATTAAAACAAATATTATTTTTTCGTTCAAAATATCGCAGAAAAGCATTTATTAAAGCAGAGGTGGATGTTTTTATAAGATGTCGTCACATCTATTTGTATCTTGATTTCGAGATCTATGTCCTTTCCTTTGGCTTGGCTTTACGAGCGAAGATTTACGAAACTACAGGTACACTAATGGCCGATACGGGACAGGCAAGTCCGGCCGTAGCGACTGCAGTTAAAGGTCTGGTCTGGTATAGTTCCAGAGGCTTAACGGTCCTTCCTCACGCAAAGATCTCCCTCAGGTTGGCCATGCGAGAGTCCACAAAAATGTAGACGGCCTGTTGGACAGTGCGGCGACTGGCTTGACGGTCAGCAGCAAGTGTCGACCACTGGCGATGGTCAAATGTGGCAGGTACCGAGGAATGTCTTGAGGGAGTCCTTATAATGCTTCCTTCATGCCCCTATGTCACGGAGACCAGTGGGGAGTAAGCCTTACAGGGTTGTCTTGGGCAGGCGATGGTCCCTTATTCTGGAGACCTGCCCTGCCCAGCGTAGTTGTGACTTCACCAATACGGTTTCAATACCGGTGATTTCCACCTGTTCGAGGATCTCAACGCTGGGGACGTAGTCGATCCACTGAATGTTGAGAATGGTACGGAGACAGCGCTGATGGAAGCGCTCAAGGAGTTGTAGGAGGTGGCGGTAGGTTACCCCCGACTCACAGCCGTACAGCAGGGTGGTGAGTACGAGGGCTCTATAGACGCTGATCTTAGTGCCTTTCTTCTGATGCTTCAGACTCTTTTGTTGAGTCTACCGAAAGCGCTGTTCATGATTTATGTAAGGGGAACATATTTGTAACAACATAATTGATGACTACAATGTGAACGCCATTTTTAGATAATTTTTAACTACGCAGTAAAAAATTGAAATATATTAAGCGTTATAATATTTTCTTGAGTTTTAGTTACTTTGGCTTTCTCGCCTTACGATTATTGAGGAAATGTTAGAAAACCAATAAATTTTAAATTTACTGTAGTTAGCGTTCTTGTTTTCTGATTATATCATGTGTGGACGCCCGTATTTACAAAAATCGGCACGTTTATATACACAATAAAACATAAAACTCTTTTTTTTTAAATATTGGTGATCGCTGGATTCTTGTAGACTTTTCCATTTATAATTAGTAAATATAGCTTTTATGAATTAAAAAATAGCACTTAACCTCTACAAATTAATACAGAATTTACATGATTTAAAAGTGTATACATCATCCTAAAAAACTTAAACAAAATGAAAAAATTCTTGAAATCATTCGTTATTGATCAGTTGTTTTAGACATTAGTGTCCATATTATATATTATACATAAAAAACAATTAAAAGTATTTCCAGTTAAATAATATCTTAGTTTTATTTCATTTTTTTTATTTTACGATTCAGAGCAGATTTTATGTAACTAAGTGTCCTGTTTCATCAAAAGAAATTTCATGATTTTAATTATTCAAGGAATTGACCTTATACCTAATAAATAAAAAATTAAGCGCTATAAAAATGGATTTCTTGAAATTAAATTAATGTCGGATAACAAATGTAAAAAAAAAAATTACCAGTATTTTCTAATACAAACATTTCAAAAATTTATTTAATTCATTTTTGATGAAGTCCTAAAAGCCTGTCTATATTTCTGAAATGAGGTATCATGTACAGTATTTACATTAGTCGGACTATTGTCCTCATCTTTGTCGCCATATTTCAGTTCGAAATTCCAACCACCTGAAGAAGGCCAGAGCGTACAACGGCCGAAACGTTCTGACAAATATGGTGACAAAGATGAGGACAATAGTCCGACTAATGTAAATACTGTCCTAAAAGTCTCATTGAATTCTTACAATTATCTGATTTTTGCAAGAATTTCCAAATTAATGTTTCACGCGGCTCTTATTTCTTGTATTAATTTATTGCCCTCGTGTTTATGTCAGAGAAACAAGAATTTTAACCAAAATTTAACAGGTTCTAAAAAGGATTAAAAATCAAAATTTCGCATAAAATATTACATTGGTTTTGGTATTCACCCAGGTCCTTTCCACAAGGTGGGATGTGACACAAGGCCGGGTTTTAACGTAGAACGTTCCGAGCGTGTAGGCTCGGGCAGAAATTCCCCGTATACCCCGTAATAACGGAACCAGGTTTATCTACCTCCCCAGACGAGAATTCTACCCTTCCGCATAGCCTCGCCTGTGTTCATCTCCGCCCGAAGGCTGAGAGGTTAACAAGCAGCGTACATCAAACTCAGAGGTTTGATATACCACTGTCCACTCGAATATTCCTTTGGTCTCTGCTTTTAGTAATAACACAGATATTTTAATCCTTGCTTTTATTAGGTTTACGACATTTTTTCATCATGTATGCTCGTTTTTTAGCGAATCTTTGGAGGTACCTTATTTCGTCAAACAATTTTCAAATATCGGCTAAATCTACCAAATTACTAGTAACAGAAAAGCGGCTACCTCTATAAGCAACCTTGACTGATTTTTGACAAGAAATATAGTCGAATATGCAATTGTGTTTTGTCACATGCTTGAATATCACGGTGTCAATTTACCGATACTGAAACATTTTGTTTACATCGATCAGGAACGAACAAGCTGCGTATAAAATTTTTACTTAAACTTTTTTTTTCAATTCACTTAAGTATAATTTACTTTCCTTTTCGTGAAGTTCGTGAACTGGCATTGGCATTTTCCAGACAATAACGCTGGTGAAATTTAACTTTTAAATATATATTTTATTTTACACTTCCTATAAAAAAAAAAAGAAACCATTTTTTATATTTTTACCATCTTGGTCCATCTTATCAAGCATAGTGTATGCATCATTCCACTTCAGACATTTTTCTATTTTCTAACGTTTGTTTTCCGAGAAACAAATTGTCAACGTTTTCTATATTATTATAAATTTCTGTCAGACGATGCACATGCGCAGAACCAATAGATGTTACATAGTTTTCCTTTCTTTTCTGAATTTCTGTATAAAAAAAAAGATCTTATCATTAATTATCTTATTTAGATTGAAGCATCTCGACTTCAGTAACTTTCCCACCGCTTTAGCATAACTTTTCTTTGTGTTGTGTAGAATGACGAATAACTTTTCTCTTCACAAATTACAGAACATCTGTTCACAGGGACGTTGTCGCAAAGTGGGTCGCAAGGCATAACGTTGAGTCGTAAGCAATGCCGTACTGAAATACGCTATTCTCTGTTACTGTATTATTAATCCAGGTCTCCCATGTGATTAAACTTAAGCTTAACCATTTGCTTCAGTGTTTTCAGAACTACGAGCGTTAAACGAACTTCATAACACCATGACTTTAATATTTTCATGTCAAATGTTTTAATGAGCTTTTCTCTTTGGTACTTAAAATTAATGAATTTAAATGTACTACTAGATTGGCGGTTAGGTCTCATCATTTTACATCTTAAATAGTTATCTACTGCCTTCTTAATTCCTCTTCTTTTATTGTTCTCGCTCCTTAATAATATTTTTATCTTACACACTGCATTTCCGTGACTTTATTGCATTGCTTGAGGTGAAGTGATATATATATATATATATATATATATATATATATATATATATATATTAAGACATTTTAAGTTTATACATTCTTTTTATAGATACAAATATTTTTTAAGTAAATGCTTTGTTTATAATAAACAGTATTAAACAACATTTACCGGCCTGAATGTCCGAGATATTTGCACAGAAAATATTCGTCCTCCGTGAAAATTTCTCGGACATTCAGGTCGGTAAATGTTGTTTAATACTGTTTATTATAAACAGAGCATTTACTTAAATATTTGTATCCATAAAAAGAATGTATAAACATAAAAAATGTCTAAAAATAATTGTCGAACTTTGTCCATTTCATAATGTGTGACGTCATTTGTTTACATTTGGATACGCCATGAACAGATATGAATGTTCGTGAGAGATTCATGGAAGATTGAAGTTTAAAAGCAGAAAGTTTGAACGATCCTCTGTGGCCGAATCGGTTAAAAGGCACGTCAGGCTATATAACGGTTCGTATAGGATACAGGTTCGAATCCTTTCGGAGGACGAAAATTTATTATGAAAATTTCTCTGACATTCCGGTAAATATTGTTTAATACTGTTTCTTATAAACAGAGCATTTACTTAAATATTTTAACTATAATAAGAATGTATGAACATAAAAAGTCTTAAAACGTTTCGGCCACTTGAACTTGAGGCCAAATTTTGTCGAGTTTTGACTTGCATATATTGCTTGCTTATTATTATTTTGCCCTGTTTATACCTTCGTTTTCTTATCGATTATTGAGAAGTTTGAAAACATTGTCAATTCCGTTTGCTGATAATTTTGTCAATTACACTTAGCCTTGGCCATTTTTACACACAGATAGATATGAACAGAATCAGATAGATACATAAATATATATGAAAAGAATCTAACAGATAGATAGATAGATAGATAGATAGATAGATAGATGAATATGAACAGAATCAGATAGATAGATAGATAGATAGATAGATAGATAGATAGATAGATATGAACAGAATCAGATAGATAGATAGATAGAATAAATAGATAGATAGATATGAATAAACTCATATATATATATACGAATAAAGATGATATATAGATAGATAGATAGATAGATAGATAGATAGATAGATAAAGGTGAAGAAACATATAGATAGATACGAATAGACTGACATATATATATATATATATATATATATATATATATATATATAGATAGATAGATAGATAGATAGATATGAAGAAACTCAAATAGATAGATATGAATAGACTGATATATATATATATATATATATAGATAGATAGATAGATAGATAGATAGATGAAGAGGATCAGATAGATAATGAAGATAGATCAGATAGATAGATAGATAGATAGATAGATAATGAAAAGGATCAGATAGATAGATAGATAGATAATGAAAAGGCTCAGATAGATAGATAGATAGATAGATGAATAGATCAGATAGATAGATGATAGAAGAAGATAGATAGATAGATAGATAGATAGATAGATAGATAGATAATGATAGAGAATCAGATAGATAGATGAAAAGGATAGATAGATAGATAGATAGATAGATAATGAAAAGGCTCAGATAGATAGATAGATAATGAACAGACTTAGATAGATAGATAGATAGATAGATAGATAGATAGATAGATATGCTATGATAAATGTAATCCTAGTTACACGTAAATAAATATGGTCCTCATGATATAATAGCTATTTACAAATATCTCGTTGATAAGCCGAAAACCTATAGGGTCTGTAAAATTGCTATGGTGATAGATTATATAGTTTTAAAAATAAGTAGATGAAGTGTTCAAGAACTATTGCTCCGTTATTATATATTTTTCCTTTCGACATCCGTTTCTTTATTCACGATCAATATCTCGCAAAGAATCCCTCTTCCAGCTGCGTCGTGTTTTGGTAAAGTGAGACGAAGTCAAAACAACACCATTTCTTTTTTTTATTTGCCGAAAGTACTACATCAATCAAGTTCGTTTGTTCAAATCCGGAAAAGTTAGCGTTAAAAAAATTGATCCAAAGTGAATCTTTTTTATTTTAATTTTTTGCTTTCTTTTTCAAACGTTCTTTCTAATATTCTTACAGCATTTTCCTTTACTATTTTGTTTTTGTTTTTTTTTGTTTTTTTTTGTCCAGAGTTTCATGCCGACAAACCTTTAAAAGTTATTTTTGTATCTTTCTTTTTTTTTTCCGGTGTGAAAAAAAAATTACCACATAGTGTTTCCCGCCATACTTTGTTGACCCTTCTCATTTTATCGTATTTGAAAACTCGAGTGATCTTTCCTTCATAACAACTATTACGCCTATGGTTAAACTTATTTATTTAAAAAAAAAACATAATCCAATAAATCAACTGGTATCTGAGTAAAAGTTTGGATAGCTATTTTTTTAAAAATCCATTTTGGATGTACACACAAGTTTGCCTCTTTTTGTGTTTCGAATAACACTTTGAAGCCGATACTTTCTTAGACCTTCCTCTATTGCTGTTATGATGTTGATTTGGGGTTAGTAGAGACAAACGCCAAATAACACGTAACAATAAAAAGTGTTTTAATAGGTTGGTAAAAAGGTACAGAAATCGCCTGAGTAGTCAATAACTAGCTCAGCTAAGAACTTCTCGGTCTATCTGTCTTAGTATTTATCGATCCACCCACGAGGATTGAATATGGCACAAGGCCGGTTTAAAGTGGGCATCTCCGAGCCCGTAGGCCCAGCCAAAAATATAGCCTTTGAACCCGCCTAGACGGGTTCAGGCCCTGTCTACCTCCCGGACGAAACCTTGCCATTCGGCAAAGCTTCGTCCGGGTTCCTCTAACGCAGAGAGTTCGACGAACGTCGCTTACAGTCAAAGACTGTCACGACTCAGCTAGACTCGGAGGTCTTACCCTCTCGGTCTATCTGTCTTCCCATGTCAACTGACATGCCACTATTTAAAGTCTTTGTTCACAGACGCAGACAAGTTCATCTTCAAGAGGGGTGGTAGGTTTCCGACACAACAATTGCCTACATTTCAGGGAGTATTTAGTTTCATTCTTCCTTTCATAGTTTATCTATTTTTGTTTTGTTTCACCCAGACCTCGACGATGAAGATGCTGTGTAATGATGAAGCGCCTCGGCTGCCTCCCAAAGTTACTCAACATGGTCATCCAACGGCACAAACACCAGCGCGACCAAGTCAGGTTGAACAGCGACTTATCCGTACCGTTCCCCGTCGTCAACGGCGTGAAACAGGGTTGTGTTCCGGCACCGACTCTGTTTAGCATCTTTTTTCAGCATGATGACTAAACAGGCCACAGAAGACCTTGAAGAGGACGATGCTGTGTACGTCTGCTACCGCCTTGACGGTAGTCTGTTTAACAGTCTGTTTAAATTCAGGAGACTGCAGGCCCACACAAAGACACTTGAGCAGCTTTTCTGTGACCTCCTCTTCGCCGACGACACTGTCCTCGACGCCTGCACAGAAAGAGCCCTGCACCGTTTAACATCCCGCTTTGCAGAGGCTGCCCGGCTCTTCGGACTCGAGATGAGCCTGAAGAAGACGCAGGTCCTCCACCACCTCAGGAAGAGTACCGCCCTCCCCACATCAGCATCGGCGAGGCTGAGCTGAAAGCAGTTCACCAGTACACTGGGGTGTACCATCACATCGGATGCCAAGATCGGCAGGGAAGTAGATAACCGACTGGCCAAGGCAAACAGCGCTTTTGGCAGACTCTACAGAAGAGTGTGGAACAGCAAGCATCCGAAGAAAGGCATTAAGATTAGTGTCTATAGAGTCGTCATAATCACCAGCCTGCTGTACGGCTACGAATTTTCGATTAACCTACCGCCATGACCTCCGATCCCTTGAGCGCTTCCATCAGCCAACCTCAACGTACCATCCTCACATTCACCGGAGTGACTACGTCAGCAACTTTAGAGGTACTTGACCAGGCGAAAATCACTGCTACGCTGGGCAGGGCACGTTTCCAGAATGAGGGACCATCGCCTGCCCAAGTATCCGAATCCGTTATGAATGAAATGATCCTTGTTTATATAAATTTCTGCCGTATTAGTTCTTATTTTTACTACAAGCTTTCGTCTGTTCCTACAGACATCTTCAGGTATAGAATAGATGTTGTTCTTGTTTTTTTCTCTTAGTAATAAGAGGACAACGAAAATATATGTATTGTTGTATCCGAAAATGCTATTGGAAATGAGTTATTGTTTTTGGAGCGCGCAGTAGCAACGCTGAGTTTGATTTGATCCAAAATAATATACAAAAACCTCCGAATATATTGGGAGGTTTTTGTATATTATTTGAATTTTTTGCGATGATGGATTTCTCGCCAATTAAATCATTAACCTTTGCATTAGTTTTTGTGTGAATAATTCATGAATATATATATATATATATATATATATAGGAGATGCATTAACTCCGACATATTTTTAATTTATTTGTTTAAACGTTATATTTGACAGATACTCATATTGAGCATTAAATATTAAACAGTATATATATATATATATATATATATATATATATATATATATATATATATATATATATTTACATCTACCAGTCTGAATATTCGAGAAATCTTGTAATTGATATATGTATATTAATATAATAATATGTATTACAAACACAGTGATATGGTTAAACTAAATGTAATTTCTAAGGCTTCGAGACTTAACTTGGAATTCTGGTATTAATGTCCAAGTGTCGCAGACGCACAGAAAGTTTGAGAACACCAATGCCCTCATCAAGTCTGATCCTTGACTTCAGGAAGATGTTCTTGTATCTTTAGATGCTGCCTGGTTTTACGACACCTGGAATTGTTTATGCTTCTCTTGCGTTTCTATGTACTTGAGTGGTTAGAGCGTTTGCTTTCACAACATGAGACCACGGATGTGTCAAGAACATTACTTTTTTTTATCTTATCGGTCTGTAGAGTCGTTTCTAATATTTGGTACACTTGGAAAATGACTGAAAACTGTGTTACTGGTTGATTCAAGTCTTGTGAGTGAAATTGGGTTGACGGCATTATTTGGGAGCCGTCGCTGGTCGAGTTAGCACGAAGTCGAAAGTAATCGTGGCCGAAGATTTGTGCGTACTGGCCTTGTTCGCCCCGTTGCTCTCGCTAGATTATCCGTTCTCACTCAGGTCTCACAGTTTTTGAACTCGCTGGGTGAAACTGTCATTTCTACTCTAAAAGGTTGTTTATTTCTCGCACTTCCCTCCTGTCGACTCATTTTCGACTTCTTGCCTCCCTGACAATTACAATCCCTCAAAATTTAAACGCAACGCCAATCGCCATCTTCTGGAAGTCTGTTCCATTTTTGCCCCTGTCTTCTAACGTTCCCATGCACTTTCACCTCCTGATTCCCCGCCTCGCGTTCTAGTGTCTTTGTTGTCTTGCTTGGGGTGAAATGGTTAAAAAATACTGTAACTAAGGTTCATGCAGCATAGCTGCAGTATAAACCACAAATGTGACCGAGCAATAGATTGACTAACCGTGCTAGTAGATAGTCATACTCGAATATAAGCCGCCAGCCATTACTTACTTACTTGTCCGAATATATGAACCCAACTCTTCAGCCCCTCAGCTATGGGTAAATAGCGGTCTAGGAGAATGACAATTGGGAATGAAAAACCTACAACTATGTATTAATTAGCTTTACCATACCGCAATTAGACAGGTGTGGTGAGTATGGCTGTTCTTCAGTAGAAGGCTCGTGTATTTGGTCAATCAGGGAGGAGTTCCTCCAACAGAAATACTGGATTTTGCTTTTGGTCAACCAGGAAGCGTTTCCTCCAACAGAAGCCACTGTATTTAGACTTGATCAATCAAGGAGTGGTTCCTACATCAGGAGACACTGGATTTAGATTTGATCAATCAGGGAGGGGTTCCTTCAATAGAAGACACTGGATTAAGTCAATCATGAACCGTTTCCTCAAACAGAAGACATCAGATTTTGTTTTGGTCAATCAGGAAATGTTTGCTCCAACAGAAGACACTGGATTTAGATTTGATCAATCGGGAAGAGGTTCCTTCAACAAACGACACTGGATCAGATTTGACTCATGAACCTAATTGAAACCATAGAAAATACTGTTAATTCAATTCAACAATGGAGCTGTTAATATGATGTTTTCCGTGAATTCCCCACAAATAACCTAAAGTTATTCATCGTAAATATTAGCTCAGCCCAAGAAATTAAAAATTTGATTCAAAGTTGTTTTTTATTACATTTTTGGCACTCTTTCGAAATTATATTTTTAAATCGAAATTTGTTTTAACTTCCCTCTCAACAGATCCAACCCACAGAACGAAAAATTACCAAAAATTAGAGGGTTATTCATAGTTCTTAAGTGCGGATGATATTCGAGGTACCCACATGGAATTTTTTCAATTTAAAAAAAAAACCCTGAAAAGTCTGTTTTTAGTTCGTTTATCGGGGTTTGCACAAATGCAGACCCCACACTTAAAAATAGCGTACCCGACTCGCTGATATTTGGGACGATCACAAAGTTCAACCCAACAGGAGGGCAATGGAAGGGTCTCGCTCTGGGAGAATTTGGTGCGAAGTTTAGTAAATATTAACACTTTTTTTTTTAAATTTGGGGCGAATTAATATCTTGTGTTGAATTAATAGAAAAGATGCACATAAACAAAATGAGAATGTCATGACTTTGGCTGATTTACAATGGAACCTCGAGTTCCGTGTTATAAATTTGCTGCGATTTGGGATGTTACGAACGTGTCTTTTTACATATCGAGTAATATCGAGAATAGAGAAGGAAAGAAAGGCAAAGAAGCAAAAAATATTTGAATCTACACATGTAACTATATAAGATCAGGTAAAAAAAAAAAATGTTTACACGCAGATTTTTCCTATCTTTACATTTCTGCTTTGAAAAACAGCATGACTTCCTGCCATGAAACAACAACAATAATATGAAACACACACACATACACACTAACACACGCAAACAATTTGGTGGTGGGGAGTCTATTTTTACGCATGCGTACACATTACCTATGCGTCTTCTATTTTTTGCTCGCTTTTTAATACCGAAGTAGCCGGGGAAACTTCCTTTTTTTTTTTGTTTTTTTGTTTTTTTCCTTACCAACGGCACTAAACCTTTGGAAATCGTTTCTGAGTTAGAATAAGAAAAGGAAAAAAAAAAAACTCTCTACGCATGCGCAGCGTTAACCTGAGGCGGAAGCAATTTTGGTGTGAGTTCGCAACCTATTCACAGGAATTCATTCCCTTGAACTGGTTTTCTTTTCGATTTTCCTGTGCAAGACTCATCGCTTCCATTCGATCGAATGCTTTTTGCTTTATTTAATTACAATTTTTTTTTTCTTCTCTCATGGCTACGGAAGAATAAGCATTTCGCAAACAGAATACAGAAATATGCAACCGGCTCTTTTCAAAGGCAAGACACGTGGCTTCTTTCGTTGTTGTGAAAAATTAAATATACGCAAGCCTAGTATTTATGAATATTTAATATCTATATAATAATAAAACTCAAACCTTGTGTGTATGTTTCTTCCGGAGATACAGCTTAAGCGATAAATAGTACCCGCAACCAATTTACGAACATATTGTATCTTTTAAGCCCCTGCCAAGTGCAGTGCCAAATTTAACTAAAATTAGATAAAATAGGGCTGTTTTTTCTGTTTTTACAGTAATTATAATGACATTCAGTATTTGTTTACCATACAAATTCTTTACATTCAAATATGAGCGTTGTAGCCTACCCAATAACAATTAAGATAATTCTATGAACCAAAAGAAATTGACGTTGTTACCCATAATGCTCCATTGGGCAGCATATATAAATAATCGATCTACCATACAAGACACTGGCTTGTAGATTGTATTCAAGCTAAAACAGGCTGTTGCATTTATATATATATATATATATATATATATATATATATATATATATATTAATTAATTTTTTTATGTTTATACATTCTTTTTTATATATATAAAATATTTGAGTAAATGCTCCGTTTCTAATAAACAGAATTAAACATTTACCGGCCTGAATGTCCGAGAAATTTTCATACAAAATTATTCGTCCTCCGACAGGAATCGAACCTGTATCCTATACGGAACCGTCATATAGCCTGACGTGCCTTAACGGAACGCTTCTCTGTGGCCGGTAAATGTTTAATACTGTCTATTAAAGACAGAGCATATACTCGGATATTTGTATCTATAAAAAGAATGTATAAACAAAAAAGTCTTAGAATAATTGTCGGACTTTGTCCATTTCATAATGTGTGACGTCATTTGTTTACATTTGGATGCACATTGAGCAGATATGAATGTACCTGAGAGAATCATGGAAGATTGTAGTTTAAAGACAGGAAAATTCACCTTGCTAACCGAACGCTCCTTTGTGACCGAAACGGTTAAGGCACGTCAGGCTATATGACGGTTCCGTATAGGATACAGGTTCGATTCCTGTCGGAGGACGAATATTTTCAATGAAAATTTCTCGAACATTCAGCTGGGTAAATGTTTAATACTGTTTATTATAAACAGAGCATTTACTTAAATATTTGTATCTATAAAAAGAATGTATAAACATAAAAATGTCTTAAA